TGGTACAGAAAGTTCGTGGGAGTTGTTCTTTGTAACTCACTGCGGTATAAGATCTACCTCAGTGACAACCTGAAAGGTAGGTCTTTGAGGGTGCTTGGCTATGGGAGGGTATGGAAAAATTTAATTTTATTAGATACTAACTTGAAATAGCAGGTGCATCAGAATATATTTAGGTGTGGACCCATTATGTCTCACTTTGGCTCAAATACAAACCAGTTTTGCAGTCCCTCTATTTTGGGGTGACTAGTTTTTACATTGGCCCCCAGAAATACATATGTATTTTTAAATCTACATTTTAGGAATGAAGTCCAAAATTCTGTTGTAGACTGGAAGGCCATTTTTTTTGCCATTAATTCAATAATGATAGCTATGGCTATAAGCTGGAAGTGTTGAGGAAAATTCCCCCTTTCATTCCTTGCCATTGGCACAACTTTACAGAGAAAAAAAATGCAGATGATGAAACATACATCAGCAGAACTATTTGTTCTGTGTCCAAATAAAAATTACATTGCTTTTATTATGGATGGGGATTAAAACAAAGAATAACAGACCTACTTTGAACTACTAACATTTCAAAATGCTGTTTAAACCCATCTGGCTTTGACTTACCCATCTACACAAGTTTGTTTTTATTTCAAAATTTGCACAGCTTTAAACTTTTTAGTCCATACATTTTTCAACTTTCCCTCAGCTAGTCTATATCTTTTTATGGGCCATAGGTTTTTGTTGTTGTTGTTGTTTTTGTTTTGTTTTGTACTTTTTTTGCTAGTGGAAATCATTTCAAGACAATGTCAAAACAAAGTCTCCCTTACCATCCCCCACTCTGACAATTTCTCAGTGGATAAGCCTCTCTCAACACCCACTGTCTGTTTCTCTCTCTGCTCTTTCTTTTCTCTTCCACCACCGCCACTTTTCTCCCCTGACTCAGAATTCCTGGGAGAGGTTGCACAGCCATCTCCAGTATTCCAGGGTTGAGAAAAACAACTTTGCCCTACTGTGCAGTTGTGGTTCAGCACCATGGACAGTGCCATATGCCCCAGACACACATTCTACTAGTTATGCACAAAAATAGGTTCTTCTATTTTTATAGATCTTCATGCCTTTCATAATGATTTCACAATGAATTCTCTGACTAAACTAGTTTCCTCTTCCTTTTTTTAAACCAAGGAGTAAAAAGGTCTACCATTTATAGGCTGAAACTGCCTATAATATTAATAGTTTCCATTTAATGAACACTTGTTAAGTATTTGGCATACATGATCCGTCTGAATCCTTACAACACTTTTGAGGTTGGTGCCATTATCACCATTTTCAAACATGGAAAGTATGACACACAGAGTTTAAGTAATGTGCCCGATTCAAATGTTCTCCAAAGCTTGCGCAAACTCCTAAACCAGCTGTGGCATGTTTTTGACCACTCACTGACCTCTTTAATTCCTCCATGCAGACACATTCTACAGCATTGGGGACAGCTGGGGAAGAGGTGAAGACCATTGCCAATTTGTGGATTCACATCTTGATGGAAGAACAGGGCCTCAGTCCTATATAGAAGGCCTCCCTAGAATTCAAGGTAATGAGAACAAAGTTCTGATATATTAACTGGGAGGTGGGAGAGGAATGCTAATATGAGGAGAAAATTCACTGTGGCCCTGCCTTTGGCTTACCATTTGAAGACAGATGTTGGCAGCATTTTGGATCATAAAAATAAGGAATCAACAAAATACTCCTACCGTGGGCTGGAATTGGGGTGAGCCTAGGGGAGTAGGGATGCAAAGGAATATAAAACCTTATTGCTACTCTCAGGAACATGTTTCATAACCAGAAAGGGAAGATAACTATGTAAAAGGTAACTAAGAGTGTACAACTTAAAGTATATGTAATGACAGGAGTTATGTCACATGGTTGTCCTATTGTCAAGTAATCATGCAGATTACAGCCACTATCTGAGTTCAAGGGAGGCAGGCCCTACCTGAGGCTGTCAGGGAGACTCTTCAGAAGAGGCAGAACCTGGGCTGAGTCATAAAGATACCTAGACGTGCACAGATTGGAGGGCCTTCCAGGTGGAGAATGACAAGAACAAAAGTATAGAGGAAGGAAAAATAAACAAATGCAAACCGACCATGATACACTTCAGGTGACAATGTATCAACTATTTGATTATGGCATTATAAGCTGAGAACAAGTATATTCATCTCAAAAGCTAACAACTTGCTATATGTTACTAACTCCCCCAACCCCCAAACAAACAAATAAGTAAACAGAAGAACTGAATGAAGTCCAGCACGTTTCCATTATGCAGTCAACTCTTAGGGATCTGGCATTTTCAAGACATGAGATATTCTGATGTGTCAACTTTTTTAGTTTGGAAATAAAAAGGTACAATAATTACCAATTTTCAAAGAATTAAGATACAGTAAAATACACAAAACAGTAAAATAAGTGCATTAGTCAGTGTTCACCAGAGAAACAGAATCAATGGGGGGGGGAGAGGGGGGAGAAAGAGAGAAAGAAAGAGAGAGAGGGAGAGAGAGAGAAGGAAAGAGAGAGAGATTTTAAGGAATTGGCTGACATGATTGTAGAGGCTGACAAGTCCAGAATCTGCAGGGTAGGCCAGCAGGCTGGAGACCCAGGGAAGAGTCAATGTTGCAGTTTGAATCCACTGGCAGAATAACTCCCTCTTCAGGGAAGGTCAGTCTTTTTCTATTAGGGCCTTCAATTGACTGGATGAGGCCCACCCACATTATGGAGGGTAATCTGCTTTACTCAGAGTCTGCTGATTTAAATGTTAATCTCATCTAAAAACCAACTTCATAGAAACACCTACAATAATGTTTGACCAAATATCTGGATAAAACAGCCTAGCCAAGTTGATACATACAATTAAAATATGCATATAAAATGTATCACAAGTCTTCATTTTTTGAGGGATCTTGCAGTACCCCAGGGTTACTATTACATTATTTGTATTTCACTGTGTTTCTGAGACTGTGGTCATGATCATGGTTTTGGTTCTGAAGAGAGGTGCTGGTTAATCAACCCACTCACTGGTAGAATGGTGGGTCACCTCTCATCTCGCAAGGGTCAACAGGGCCACGGGGCAAGAGCAGCTGTTGAATTGCTGAGAAGAAAAGAAAGAAAGAAAAAATTGAGGAGGTCGGGACATCACTTCTACTTCAAAGGAGAAATGGTCAGAAACACTACAGCATTCTTTCCTTTGAGAGATTTCCTTGAAAGATCTAAGAGTCTACCACAGACTCCCAAGAAGTAGGCCTTGGAGGCTTGAGGTCGGGGGCACGCTGGGAGGCCCCAAGTTCTGTGAGGACCAGGTGGGACTCTTGCCCTGTGGTCAGGGCTCCATAGAGATTGGCTAAATTATCTTCTTTTGTGGAGAGAGAGAGAGGGGATACTAATGAACACTTTCCTACATGTGTTACACACGTGTGGGGACTGGATTATTGCTACAAATCATGCCTGGAAGAAACCTCAGAGGCTACTGTGACCCCACGCCAAAATGGTGGTGTTTATTTGGAAGTAACATTTGTCATAAGAACAACTTATCAGAGGTCTTCTGTCTGAACGAGGTTGTAAGAATGAAAATTTTTCCAGTTGGTTTGGGTCCTTCTGGTGCTATGATACTAGTACCAATTCCAAGTATGTTTTTTCCCCACACCAAGCCATTCTCTAACACGAGCTGTGTGTCCTACAATGAAACTCAATTCTGATGCTCTCTACCTGGAGTAACATCAGATCCCATAGGTTAAGGGCTCAGTCCATCAGAGTGCCTGTCCTCACCCACTCCCGATGCCAATCACAAGTCCAGGTTGTCACCTGTGCTTCTGACCAACCAGCTATAGATCCAAGGTTCCCACAATACCCTCTTTGGGTTTGATTAACTTGCTAGGGCAGCTCACAGAACTCCGAGAAACATATTACTTACTAGTTTACCCGTTTATTATTAAAGAACATAACTCAGGAACAGCCAGATGGAAGAAATGTACAGGGCAAGGTATGGGGAAAAGTCACAGAGCTTCCATGTCCTCTCCAGGTGTGCCACTTGCCCCCCATCTCTACATGTTCACCAACCTTGAAGCTCTCCAAAACCCATGCTCTGCGGTTGTTGTGGAGGCTTCATTACATAGGCACGCTTGATGAAATCATTGACCATTGGGGACTGAAGTCATCTCCAGCCCCTCTCTCCTCCCCAGAGGTTGGGTGGGTGGGACTGAAAATCCCAGCTTTCTAATCACATGTTTTCTTCCTCTGGGGACCAGCCCTCATCCTTAGGTGCTTTCAAAAGTTACCCCATTAACATAAATTCAAGTGTGCTTAAAAGAGGTTTGGTACAAATATTAAGACACCTTTATTGCTCTTATCACTTAGTAAATCCCAAGGGTTTTGGGAGCTCTATGCCAGGAATGGAGATGAAGACCAAATACATATTTCTCACTATAAATCGTAACATCACAGATGCATTTTCTCTCTCTCTCTTTGCGTTTACCCTAGGCTACTATCGCCAGTATCGCCAGGAGCCCGTCAGCTTTGGCAACATTGGCTTTGGAACCCCCTACTACTATGTGGGCTGGTACGAGTGTGGGGTCTCCATCCCAGGGAAGTGGTAACCCAGGCTGAATCATGCTGAAAGCTCACCCTGCCTGGCCCCCTTGACTAACTTGCACTAGGGGCCATGAGCAGGAAAACTAGATGGTGTCCAAAGCCACACAGCCCCGGGCGTCAGCAAGGCCACAAGATGGACACTGGATATTTTGGGCATCTTCAGTCTGGAACTCAGCCCCACTTCCTGGCCTGGACTGCACACAGGATTCAATGTTGCTGTTAACTTTGCTTCTCCATACATTTTGCTTATAATAGCACATCCCAGAGACAAGTGAAACACGCCACTACAGAGGATGCCCACTGATTCAGGGCGATTTTCACACTCTTTAGGCACAAAATTCAGACCCCTTGGTATTTCCAGGGAACAGCAGAAGCACGCTGTGCTGGCTTCATGGAACGCTACACGCTTTCTTTTTCCTCACTGGACTCCTCCAAAACTAGCTGAATTTAAGCTTCGGATCTCTTTTTATGCAGTAGAACTGAATTACTGAAATCACCACCAAAGGAAATGTACCCTACTTAAGATTTATCCCATGGACTTACCCACTGCTAGACCAAATGTATCAAATCTTCTTTGTAAATTCTCATTTTGATATATATATATATATATATATATATGTATGTATATATGCATATACATATCCACACTTGTCTACAAGAACATTGATTAAAATTGCTAAATTTGTTCCTGTTCACTAGATAAATGTGTGTGGGACTTTTTGGAGCAAAGGTGCTGTTTATTAACATCTTCTAGACGTGTCCAAAGTATCTGTGCTCTACAGACTATGACAACAATGGAAAGGTATGCGTTTCTCCTGTGAATAGCGCTGGACTGTGGGAATGTTTAGGATGGTGCGATGCTAGTGTTGAACTAGATGCAAACAGAGCACCTTCTACCTAAGAAGACCTTCTTTCCGTACCCAGGTGAAAAATGTACTAACTGCCTCCGGAGGGGGGTGAGGTGGGGGTGAGGTGGGGTGGGGGCATATCCAGTACGTTTTCAGATTCATTCAGATGTTAGGTCACAAATAATTTGAAAATCTAGTCTTAAAAACCTCCTTTTCCCTTTCCTGTCTATCTCAGTATCTACTCCTCAAAATATAAGCATCTTACCCCTCTTGACTGCAGCACAAAAGGGTTTAACTGGAGGCAAACACTTTCCTGGGCTGACTGGCTTTGCCACTAGCATCAATGATTTCACCGCAGAATGCAGTCCAGGCGCCTGGAGTCAATTGTTTTCAGTGCCAGGGCTGTGCTGAGGTGAAACCTGATGTATCTGGCAGGGTTGAAGGTAAAACTTACAAACAAGTGACTTTACAGGGTCTTTGTGATGTGGCTGTAATAGCTGACATTTCCCCCAACTTCCACCATCCCCTTTCTATAGTAAACAACAGTAAAGAAAATGCAAGCATTCTGACAGCCTGGGAGAATACTGGAATTCCTTAGAGGGACAGATTAGATACCCAGTTCGTATGTTACATTTTCATTTGCAAACAGTATAGGAATCTTTAAGCAGCCTTTGGCACTCTTATACATGAAAGAGGGGTTATTTTTAAAAGGCTATCCAAAAAAAAACACCGTATTTTTCACACTGATTAACACTCAAATGTACTTCACAATGCCAAGCCCAAAATAAGATCTTTAAGTGAGTTTTTCTAATAAGCACATAACTTGCTTCCGCCCCTCCAAATTTCTGTTTGGTGCAGCATCCACTGGCCTGCTGTTGGAAAGCAGAGAAAGAGGCCAAAATGAGGCCCCGTGGGGGAGAGCCCCAGCAGATCGCACATTTCCCGAAAGTGTTTTTTCGGGCATAAATAATTCATCAGCATGTAAGAGAAGAGCTGTTGTCTGTCCCACAAGCCTGTCTTGGTTATGGGGCCTCCTTTGGAAGAAGGGAAGGAGACTGGATCAGCACAGAGGTGCAGGTGACCACCGAAGGATACATCCTCTCAGAAGGGTTTTCTGCTCACTTCACAGAAACACAAAGAATTCACTGGCATTCACTCATGCAATGATTTTCGAGCCCTGTCTGGTACCTGAGACTGTATTTGATTATAGAAAACGGAATTTTTATTAAAAATAAATGTCTGCAATTTTTGGTGGAAATTACTACGAACCCCAGATGATAGAGCAGCCAAAACAAAAACAAAAACACTGAATCTGAGCATAGGTGGTATTATTACCAAGGTCTTGTCCAAATTAGGTTACGTAATAGTTCAAATAAGTCCACGCGGGCATGTCAAGGTTCCAGCACTGTGTAAATTCTGGAGGCCATGTTTCAGGACATCATTTCACATCCAGTTAGGGGGGCCTTAATGGGTCTGTTTTCCTAAAGAAGATTTCATCTATTTCAAAGGCTCTGAGGAGGAACAGCGTTTGCCAACTCCAGAGGTCGGAGGTAGTTCCAAGTGCGAATTAAAGGAAAAGAAAATCTGACTCACTATGACAAAGAGCTTTGGAAGAGTCCAACTATCACATGAGCCTCCTTGGAAAATAGCGAGATGCCCGTCACTGAAAAACCTTAACTATAACTGTTCATGTCTAAACTTGAGACTGGAGGCCCCCAGCCTGTTTTTACATGACTTGTAAAAAGCTCAGAATGATTCCTATGAATTTCAAGGGCTGTAAACAAAACCAACAGACAAGAAAACACCAATACTATGTGACATACGTGGATCCCAAGGCCTAAAACATTTTCTGTCTCACCTTGTAAGAAAAAGTTTTCATAGCCATGCATTAGAGTTTTCTGGAGGCTTAAAGAAGGTTAAAGCGAAGTGCTAACTTACAAACTGGCACATGCTACTTAATAAATGTTTGTTTGCTTTTCTTACTTGTGGTTGATTGATTTTCTGACTAGTAAACATGAAATCTCTGTTGAGTGGTTGGATCCTGGAGTCTCAAGCTTCCCATTTGGCAAGCCTTCTGTGCTACTGCCTCGGGAAATATTGTGTTCTTTAAGAGGCTTCTTGCATATATATTTTAAATTTTTATTAAAATATAGCTAACATAAAATGTTATGTTAGTTTCAGGGGTCCACCATAGTTACTCAGCATTTATACACCTGAAGAAGTAATCACCATGATAAGTCCAACAACCATCTGACACTGTCCCACACTATCACAAAATTATTGACTATATTCACCAAGCTGTACGTTACACTCCCATGACTTGTTTTATACCTGGAGCTTTGAACTTCTATTCTCCTTTATCTTTTCCCCGCCTTTTTAATTTTTCAATTACAGTTGACATTCAATATTATATTAATTTCTGGGGTATGGCAAAGTGGTTAGACATTTATATAATTTAAGAAATGACCCCCCTGACTAGTCTATTACCCACCTGGCACTATACATAGTTATTACCATATTATTGACTATATTCCCTATGCTTTACTTTACATCCCATTGACTATTTTGTAACTTCCAATTTACATTTCTTAATCCCTCTACCTTTTCACCCTACCCTCAACTCCTTCCCAACTATCACCCCAGTAAATCTAGTACTCATCTGACACCATACATAGTTATGACAATATTATTGAAAATATTCCTTATGCTAACCATGCACCCCCATGACTACTGTGTAACAACCAATTTGTACTTCTTAATCCCTTCCCCCTTTTCACCCACCCCCAGACCCCTCCCATCTGGCAACCATCAAAATGTTCTCTGTATCTATGAATTTGTTTCTATTTCATTTGTTTGTTAATTTTGGTTGTTAGTGAAATCATATGATTTGTCTTTCGCTGTCTGACTGCACTCAGCACAATACCCTCTAGGTTCATCCAGGTTGTCGCACATGACAAGATTTCATTCCTTTAAATGGCTTTGTAATATTCTATTGTATATATGTACCACCTCTCCTTTATCCCTTCACACATTCAGGGACACCCAGGCTGCCTTCATATCTTGGCTATTGTAAACAATGCTGCAATGAATGTATGGGTGAACACATACCCTCAAAGCAGTGTTTTGGGTTTCTTCAGATAAATAACCAGAAATGGGATTACTAGGTCCTTCATTGTCTTTTGTTACAGCCTTTGTTATTTTTTTTGTTTCGTTTTTTGGTTTTTTTTAAAGGGGAATCGGGGAAGGAGAACAGACAAGTTGCTGTCCTTTTGTTCTTCAGTCTAGTTGTGGAGGACATTGCTTCACTGGTCCATGTTGGTATTATCATTGCGCTCTTCCCCGGGGAGGCAGTCGCTCGCTGGCCATTGGACGGCCACTTATGGCGGCTCATGGCAGCTCATGAAAGCTCACACCAGCTGCTGGCCAGCCCCACTGCAGCCTATGCTGTCGCTGGCAACTCACAGCAGCCCAGCTCCAGGTCGAGCTGTTGCTCACCGTCTTAGCTGTAGAGGGCGCAGCATCACTGGCCCTCATGTGGGATCCAAACTGTGGCCCTGCTGCTCAGAGCTCGCATCCCAAGTCAACTCCTAACCAATGTGCCACTCAGCTGACCCCTACAGCCTTTGTTTTAAACTCTATTTTGTGTGGTAAAAGTATAAGCTTTTTGCTTGTTTCCATTTTCATGAAATATCTTTCTCTGTCCCTTTACTTTCAGTCCATCTATGTCTTTTGATCTAAAGTGAGTCTCTTGTAAGTAGCATATGTAAGAGTCTTGTTTTCCTATCCATTCAGTCACCCTATGTTTTTTAATTGGAGCATTTAATCCATATATGTTTAAAGTAATTTTTGATAGATATGTAGTTGTTGCCATTTTATTATTTGTATTTTTTATTTTTTTGGTCTTAAAGAAGTCCCTCTGTGATTCCATCTAATGCTTGTTTAGTGGTGATGGACTCCTTTGTTTAGCGTTTTCTTGTCTGGGAAGCTCTTTATCTGTCCTTCGATTCTAAATGATAGCTTTGCTGGGTAGAGTAATATTGGTTATAGGCCCTTGCTTTTCATCACTTTAAATATTTGCTGCCAATCCTGTGTGGCCTGCAAAGTTTCTGTTGAGAATTCAACTGACAGTCTTATAGGAGCTCTCTTGTAGGTAATTAACTGCTTTTCTCTTGCTGCTTTTAAGATTCTCTCTTTGTCTTTAACTTTTGGCATTTTAATTATGATGTGTCTTGGTGTTGGCCTTTAGGGTTCATCTTGTTTGGAACTCTCTGCCCTTCCTGGGCTTGAATATCCATTTCCTTTACCAGGTTAGGGAAGTTTTCTGTCATTATTTCTTCAAATAGGATTCCAATTCCCTGCTCTCTCTCTTCTGGTACTCCTATGAAGTGAATGTTGGTATGTTTGATGATGTCCCTGAGGCCCCTTAAGCTCTCCTCAAATTTTTGGATTTTTTTTTGCTGTTCTGATTGGGTGTTTTCTGCTGCTTTATCTTCTAAATTGCTGAGTCTATCCTCTGCTTCATCCAATCTACTGTTGAACCCCTCTAACATATTCTTCATTTCAGTTATTGTATTCTTTATTTCTGACTGGTTCTTTTCTATATTTTCTATCTCCATTTTATGCTTCTTATCTCTTTGTTGAAGTTTTCCCTGAGATCACTGAGCATCCTTATAACCAGTGTTTTGAACTCTGTGTCTGTTAGATTGCTTGTCTCCATTTAGTGTAGTTTAGTTTAGTTTTTTTGTTTTCTGGAGCTTTGTTCTGTTCTTTTATTTAGGACATGTTTCTTTGTCTCCTCATTTTAGCTGTCTCCCTGTATTTGTTTCTATATATTAGGTAGGGCTGCTATGTCTCCTGGTCTTAATAGAGTGGACTTATATAGTAGGTGTCCTGTAGGGCCCAGTGGCACAGTTTCCCTGGTCACCAGAGCTGGGTGCTCCAGGCATGTCATTTTGTGGGTTGTGTATGTCCCCCTGTTGTAGTTGAGTCTTGGTTGCTATTTGCATGTCAGTGGGAGGGATTGACCCTCAGGTTCATTGATTGTGAGGACTGGCTGTGACTGCAGTGGAGGAGCTATAGTGCAGGGGCTGACCGTG